CCCCGCCAGCCCTTAGCATTTCCATTTAGCAATCCATGGTTTTTGAGAGAAGGTAGAAGTAAGATTGTCTCTGTGGTGGGAGAGAAGGACACAGCAATAACCACAGCAGAGCTTGTACAGAGGTTTGTAGTTGGAGACAATACTCTTTGCAGTGAGATCTGACCGTAAGACATCCAATCCCAATGATCTAAACTTTTAGGAAACTCAGATCTGGACTAAAAATTTATTGCATTGTTTCTTTCCCATTCCTGACAAAAACAATAAAGCTAATGAGACTCATAAGCATATTTCCATTGAATAGGACATATTAATCCATCCAATATTCAGATTGGGTATAAACCTCTATGTTTTTTGGCAGAAATCAAAGCAATCAACAGGGGTAAGAAAGGAGAGTTTCTTAACCGTAACTCAGATTCTGAACTGCTCATTGCAGGGTTTTTCCCCTGCTTCTTCATCCAAAGCCACTGCTGCTGATCAATGCCAAACAGAAGACACAGCTCTGGAAAGATTATCTATGTAATATAGTATCTTCTATGTTGTTAAAAAGCTATTTGGGAGTACACACTCAAGATAGGAAGGAATTTCTTGATTCTAAAAGCTACAAAAAGGGGACAAGAAAAACATTCTTTACAGAAGAAAGAGATGGCAAACATTTCTGAATGCAGTTTACTTTAACATGTAAAGGCAGGTATCCAAGGGTAAACAGCAATGGAAAAAGACAGATGCCCTAACACTTTGAGAAAAGAGAGCAAAAGGGAGGATCCAGGCAGGCTGCTACTTGTCTAAATCTGTCCTGGAAAAAGAATTTAAAGACTCTGGAGCAGAAGCAGAAAAGTTTGGGTAATATTTACCCACTACTCAATATTCCATCACAAATTCCTTTTTTGATAAAACTGGTTGTTATTTTGTTCTCTCTCTCCCCTCTTCTCATTTAGAAGTGCCAATTACCAGCACTGCCTCAGGAGGCTCCAGGCTCTGTTAATGTGTGCTCTCATGCTTAGAGGTAGGCTACCTTTTTATTGGATGGTCTTGGGCTTGCAGAAACACTTGGTATGTCATTTGTTCCTTCAACACAGAAAGACATCCGACTGGAGCTGTGATCCATAGGCTGGAGGGCAGAGGAAAAACATAATAGTAAGTTAACACGTAAGCTAATTAACAGAGGAGAAATCAGCAGCGGTGGTTTTTTTGGAAGGTATGCACAGATGTTCACCTAAACAGCTCTTCTCTTCCCTTCTCCCCATCCCCCTTCCCAGTGGAGGCCACGACCATTGAATGCAGCAGCCGCAGGAGCGTGCAAATGCCAACACTGCCATCACGTGCCCAATTTCAGCACTGCAGCTGTATTTTGGAAGCGCTACATTCACCCTGTCAAGGATAACTTTCCTTTAAGTTTATCCGGTGGTACTACATCTGAAATTAACTAGCATCTGGGAGTCTTCCTTCCATTAAAAGTAATGCCAATTTAAAAGGCAGTGAAATGGCAGTAGCCAATTGTAAATAGCTACATTTATCAATGTGATAAAGGTGTAATATAAAACATTTTAATTTTGTACTAATTTGGAAAAAAAATTGCCTTAAGCTCTGTTTTTTTAGGATACAGTACATTAGAGTAAAATTCATAAAGCTATTAAGTTCAAATCTACATTATTAAGAATTTCTAAGGATGAATATGTATGCCCATATAAACAATTCAAACAGATTGGCAAAGCCTGTGCATCTTACTAGTTCTGGTTTAATTTGCTGAAGACAAGCACCGGTTCACTTTTTAACTGGAGAGGCATGTGATCGTTCAATGGAGGAAAGACTTCAGAACGACTCTGAAGATAACCTGCCTGAGAAGCAGTATTTTATATATGTAACACTCAAAGAAAAGGGAGGGGGGATATGGTTCAGAGCTCAGCAGACATGATGCTGCGGAGCTCTACCAGGGCTGCAGCTACGACCAGGCTCCTTGCACAGGGCAAAAAATCCTGCTTTTGTCAGATGCACAACTTCCCAGCTCCTGCTGAGTGGGGAACGCTAGATTTTGGTTTCTGCAGAGAACTGAGCACAGCCGTCCTCATAAAGCTCCTGGGATGAGCCTGGGATGCTGTAGATGAGCAAGCACCAGGTGCCAATCAGGGAAGAAAAACCCTGCTTCTCGGCTGTCATCTTCCTTTCTATCCTGCAAGCTGTTGGTGCCATATGTAGTTGTGGATGAGAAAGACAGAGGAAGTTTTGTGTTTCACTCTGTGGCTGTGTAAAGTATTTGGAAAGCCCCAGTTACAAAATACACATATGGTATCTGTACTATAGCTGATATAAAATCATGGGGCTGCTGTCATACAAATTGCCTACTCTTGTTTAGCAGGAAACTATTTAGCACTAAACAGGCTCTGTGATTTTTTTTTTTTTTTTTTTTTTTTTTAAAGCGAGTTAAAAGGAGCAAGAATAAATTATAAGTGCATTTTAGGAAAACTATTTCCCTTCCAAGGACTCTTTCACGCCTTTCAGAAAGTGAATCTGTTCCCAGTGTAATCAATAGTAGTCTTTTCTCACACTGACTGCACAACCTGGGCCAGCCCATGCCGCCAGATGTGAACAGAACCTAAATTTCAGGAAGAACAGGAGAGTGAGGCATGTTAAAAAAGCAAATCCCTCTGTGGAGTGTCTAAGCCTCAAACAAGAGACAGAGTTCTTAACTCTTGCTCTCTTCACTAATAAAGAGACATCAGAATTTAGCAATGGGATTTAACGTGTGTCTATGCCAAATCAGATAAATAGTAAATGCTTCTGGTGATACATACAGCACATTTACAAGAAGCAAATCCAACTGTCAAGGAACAAATCCAGATTATTAGGTTTCGGCCCATACAATTCTCCAGATATTGGACTTTGTTCTCTTACCTTGGATGACATGATGTTTTTGACCTCCTCATCAGTAGCAGTTTGTGCAACAGTGATGTCAGGATTGCTGCAGCTTATCACTCGGCTCTGCAGGAGTTTACTCCCAACAGACACTGCAGAAGTGCGTCCAAATGTGTAATAACGAGACTCTGTCAAAATGGCACTGCTGCCTGCACCTGCTTATAGGGATATGTTTGAACTTAGACTAAAGGACATATATACGAGACATACATGAAATTCAAGCCAGCTTTGCTCAGTGCTGTAATAGCATCAGCATTTTGAATAGCATAAATCTCCTGAAAATCTCACCACCAACTGCTTCATTAACAAATTATATAGGCATTGAATGATAAGGTGCAGATGTTTTCCAAGTCAACAGCCCACAGGTTGATTGCACAAGCAGCAACAAAAGATTAACAGGGCTACCTGAGCAGCAGCACTATTACAATAGCTCTTTATTCTTCCCATCGGCTTTTTTAATTTGCTTTAGATTAAGAGAAGATTCAAAGGCCTAAACACAAAATACCACCTTCAACACATAACATTTAACACCAAGTTCAAAGTACCCAAGGAAGCAGGGAGCACTGCCAGAAGGAATTTCACTAAACGATTACCTAGTTTTCAGCTTCCCCATGGACCTTATTTTTCCAGGGTAACGAATTTCCAAGTGTAGGCAAGCTCAGAGACTTTAGCACATCCTAATATCAGTCTTAATGTCCGTCAAGGGGGATTTAAATGAATATTTGAAAGAGAAAAGGGCCAACATATCTTTAGCTCCCATAGCACAGCTGCTTGGTGGCAAGTCAGTTAATATATAGCAACTGATCAAATGAATCCTATAGGTTTTAGGACAATGGACTGCAGCGGAATAACAGAATGGTTGAGGTTGTAAGGGACCTCTGGAGGTCATCTGGTCCAACCCCTCTGCTCAGGCAGGGCCACCTAGAGCCAGCTGCCCAGGACCATGTCCAGATGGCTTTCTAATATCAACAAGGCAAGAGACTCCAACACCTCTTTGGGCAATCTGTGCCAGTGCTCCGTCACCATCACAGGAAAAAAGTGTTTCCTGATGTTCAGAGGGAACCTCCTGTGTTTCAGTTTGCGCCCATTGCCTCTGGTCCTGTCACTGGGCACCACTGGGAACAGCCTGGTTCTGTCTTCTTTACACCCTCCCTTCAGGTCTTTGTATACATTGAAGACCCTCCCTGAGCCTTCTCTTCTCCAGGCTGAGCAGTCACAGCTCTCAGCCTTTCCTCATTGGAGAGATGCTCCAGTCCCTTCATCACCCTTGTCACACTTGGCTGGTCTCTCTCCAGTATGTCCCTATCTCTCTTGTACTGAGGAGCCCAGAACTGGACACAGGCCTGCAGGTGTGGCCTCACCAGTGCTTAGTAGAGGAGAAGGATCACCTTCCTCAACCTGCTGGCCAACATACAGGATTTTATCCTCTGACCCCATCCCTAATGCAATGGAGAAATTGGCAGAGCTTGGCCCTATGCCACTTGGCAGTGAGTTAGTTGGCATGGAAAGTAGTTTACTGATGTACGGGGCAGTAAGAAATTGGCCTCTTAGGGCCATTTTAGTTTCTGGAGGAAATTCCTCTAAAGAAAGCCTCAGTTTAGGAGATGTCTCTCACTTTCATCTTCATGAAACTACAGCATTGCATATAGCTGTGCAGTCCTCTCACCCCAACCCTGCATCTTAAATGAATGACTGAGAGAGATTATAGAATCATAGATTTGTTTAGGTTGGAAAAGACCTTTAAGATCATCCAGTCCAACCATTAACCTAACATTACCAAGTCCACCACTAAACCAATTAAGGGTAGAGTAGCAGTTTCATGTTTCCTGGCTTGGTGGCTGGATTATTTATAATGAAAGTAAAAACTAGGAATCATCAAGATTAGCAAGGACCTCTAAGATCATCATTCCAATCATCAACCCAACACCACCATGCCCACCAAACCATGTCCCAGACTGCCACATCTATGCGGGGCAAGTCCATGTTTCTTTTCACAGTGCTGAGATCCCTGACCTTTCTCTGAGAAAAACAATATATCTGAACAGTGCTGCGCTTAAACGGTATGCAGTCTGGGTCTGAGAAGTTGTGTTTGCTATTTTATAGGTCAGTTCCCTAAGTCCTCCTCTCAGAAGCACCATGCTGAATAGCATGTATAAATAAAAAAGAATTCTTTTGCAACCCTTGCATCAATATTACCTGGTTTGACTACTTCTCTTTGAGGGTCTGGCAGGCGAAATACATAGTAGACATAAGATGCCAGGAGGCAATTCCTCCCGTGCTGGTCTTTGCTAAGGTCTTTGCTGTTGTGAAGACTGTTCACTATTGCAACCACAGATTCAAAGGCAAACTGTGAGAAGTTGGCTGTGAAACAAGGGCAAGAATTAGTCTCAGCGCTGAAGGGTATAATATAATTAGGTGAAGGCGTTCTTTGTAACAACAACAACCAACCCTACATACTTTAATTCAGTCCTTAACAAATTCAGAGCTCTAACAGCAATTGCTATACCTGACCAGACCCAAGATCTACATAGGCCAATAACCACTCTTCAGTAGACTCACTGACTTTCAACCCAATCACTGTTACTGCATCACTTTGTGCTATGTAAAAAAGCAGACCATAATTGTTAATTACCATTTCTAGCAGCCTTCACGCATTTCCTATAAAATACCTACTTGAAGAACACTAAGACTCATTATTCACAGCTGACAGGCAAATACAAGCTAGCAGGCTTTTCCACAAATACTATAGTGGATGACAAGTGTTGACTACCAAAATAAGACAGGAAATAAACTACACTACTGTCTCCAAGTGTGCCTTCCCTCCAGAGTTAACGTATATGATGGGCAGCTGGCAGCCTCAGCAACAGCAAAATCTGTATGCATTACTATACCCTCTCTGTTTTTGTACTCACCCAATTCTGTCTAAAGATATTTGGGCAGAGGATATGGTGCAGTCAGCAATGTCAGCTGTAGGACAAGTGATTTTGCTGGTGTTTTCCTTGCAAAACAACTGAATTCCAAACAAAGTTAAACCACAACCCCCTTTCTGACCTGTATTTCCAGATAAGTAAACTACTACAATTCAACATATCTCCCAAACAGCGTCTGACAGTCTTATATTTAGGGGGAAAAGGAAAGAAGGCAGGAATTCAGTTAAACCTGATTAAATTGTGCAGTGAAACTCTGTCTTGAGAAGCACAACTCTTTCTGAAGTGGACTACCCCAATGCTAAATCTGAGCCTGGATATTTGGCAATCATTTCCCCCACATCTCTCTGTTGGTTGCACTACTGCTGCAAGGCCATGCACCAGTAAATACCTGTCTGGCCAGCTATGACCATGGGCTGTACAGCCAGCTGGAAAAGTTTATCTAGTACCAAATGTAAAAACAAGACAAGAGGTTCAAGGCGTGAAGAATTCAAACAGATAATGCTGAGTTTCAATTCATGTTCCAGTGTAGCCTCTGTAATCTTCTGGTCCATCAGTCGAATGGGGAATGTCACTTGACTTTCCAGAGAATGGCACAGAGTAAAGAACTTCTCCAGGTGATTGTCCTGCAAATACAATGCACTCATAGTTAACGAAGTCGATACAGTTCAGGCTGTGCTAGCTAAGCAAAGCCTGATTGTCCCACCTGATTGAATGAGAGAAAATATTTTCACCCTTCGGGCTTGCAGTGGTGGTTAGCCCTAGAGATCAATTTGTAAAGTGGCTGTCACAGCCTTTTGTTTGCTCCTTTTCATCTGGCTCAAATTCGGACTGTCATTAGACCAGATTAAAAGCAGAAAAGTTAAAGCCCTCACTAAAGTGATTGCTTCACTTAATGAAAAAAGTGTTCCCTCTCTCTGATAAAACTCTGTCACACCACAGGTCTATAGGCCCTCTGCCACCCACACCTAAGTTCCAGCTACATGCAAGTTATGTGCCTTATGAGTATGCCCTACTTGTATTTAAAAAGCATGCTGCAAAGGGGTGATGGACCTGATTCAGACACAGGGCCTCCATGTCCTTTGTTAGGACGTAGCTACCGGGGTTAACTAGAATGGGATGATGGGTAGGAGACACTGTAAAGCAGCAGAAACAAAATGAAGCTGCTCTGCCTCAAACCAGTATCCCAGTAAGATGGGCAAATCTCCAATTTCCTATCACATAAATGACCAGAATTGTAGCGGTCTCGTTCAGCACAAAGCTTGTGTCCCCACCTCACATTGCATTGATGCTGAGCCGCGTAAAGCATTCTGGCAGTGTAACCTGTCCCTACAGGCGGGGAGGTGCTATGTGTCTCCAGATGTAGACACAATGCCTGAACTAGCCTTGCAGAATAGAAGATGCAGACTGCAGAAACTGGCACTGTGCCCTGCCAGTGTGTTTCAAACACAGCCTAAGCAGACCGTTGCTGAGCTGAGAGGACACCAGGCTCTACTGCTCGTTGTGACTTGCTGCTGAGAGTGCTCATTTTTTCACTTGTACCAATATATTACATTTCACCAAAGGATTTCATTCATTGAGGATATCAGGTTATTTCCATAGCTACTAGTTGTTTTTAAACCTGTGTGGGCTTAAACATCTCCATTTCATAAACCTCCTAAGTTGGCCTGGACATCTGAATTCTCTTTGAAATGAAACTACAGCTGTGTGTTGTTTTAGATGCATTACCTGAGTATGAACAGATGAAACAGCTTGCACTTCAACATTGAAAACACCCTTGTGCCCTTCAACCCACTTAATAGGTGGTGTCTGACATGGAACTTTCTGTGATGGAAAAGAAATATGGAAATCATCGCCTTCCTTTTAATGATCAAACAGAAAGTCTGTTTACACAGGGATCTATAGGGTATTCGCGCTATTCACTTCATTTTAGATATCCGAATTCAGTGCCATACAGAGGACCACAGCTAGGCATCTTCTTGTTCTCACAGACTAGATGGAGAGAAGTTGATGCATTGAACAGGGCAATTTGGAGCCCTTCAGCTCGATGCCTAGCACAGACAGTGCAAACATACATCTTCTGATGGGATATTTTTAAGGTTAGAAGTTCCAAGTTAAAGCACTGCCAAAGGCACTCCATGGTGATGTGGTGCAGTTTTAACCCTCTGGACAGTTTCCTACTTGCCATATTTACTCAGAGGGCACAGTTTTCTGCTCCAGTAGCAGCACCTGATTCCAATTCTCCTCCCTCTCCCACATAGCCACAAAAAAATGAGCAAATCATCCTATGGAAGAAAGCAAATTATTGACTTGACACCCTCTAAACAAATGTATCCTTGATTAGACAATTTACAAGGATGTGCCTGGATAACTACTTTAAAAAACACAATATAACAATATACAATAATAACACCAGTGACAATAATAACAACAACATTTTTCTCCAGAGCTTTCCCCTTTTAAAGTACAAAAAGGAGGCACTGTCTACAAGCAGACAGAAACGTTAGTTTGTAAAACACTTATACTGTTCTTCTACATTAGGAAAATATTATCTTTTCATAATTTGCTTTGTTACCTCAGGAGAGTGAATTGAATAGTGGAAAGGCAGCTTATCCAATGCAACAGGAAGACAATAATGCCCAGTTTGAAGACGATCGTTTAATAGAATCGGCAGCCACTGAAACAAATGAAGAGAAAATACAGCAATATTCATGACTATAGATGATTAGGGCTATTTATCTAATTTGTTATGTACAGTCAACAAAACAACAAATGAGATATTGACCCAACCATCTCTGCTCTCACCCATTCAACAGTAATTTCTTTGCATTTTGAATTCACTGATGGCTACTGTAGAAAAATGTACAAGACTGCTTTACAAACTACCCCTTTTGAAGAAAACAAACACAGAGCTTTTCATGTGTGACATATATTTTTCTAATAAATACTACCATAAGGATTTAGTGGAGTCCATGTTTTTATTTTAAAAAAATCACGTATCTTGAATAGACTGATCCTTGGCTTTGAGGCAAATCAACAGAGTTGAGGTTTTGCTAAGGATAAATTGAACATCTTGGTTGTGGTGACCATGAGGATTAAGGCCAGAATAACTTATCATAACTCTCTACTGATATTTGGACACACTTAATTTTTCTCCTATTCAAGTCTGAAAGAGGCTGTGCATTTCAGTATCACAGGGCAGAAACATTTTGTATTTAGGTGAACAGAAGCTTGAAAATTATGTCCTCACCTATGCCAGGTCTTGCTCCTGAACTACAAACTAATTTACCTCTTACCAATCCCAGTGACATTGTTGGGACTATATCTGTCCATAAAAGAAAGCCCATTTGAAAGGATTCTCAGCACTGGGATCAAAACCAAATACAAACTTCATAGCAGGAAGACATGGAAAACACTTGTGTGGCCTCACAGCTCAATTGCTGACCATAGCACTAGGACATTTTCAAATCTGAAGTAGTATCATCATCTATGCTTTCCTCTTATTTTAAAATCTTTCCAGTTAAAAATATCAATTGATAAAGAAAAGGTCAAAGAGACTATGCTACAATATGTATTTCTGAAGCAAAGACATGCTAGTCTCAACATGAAGATAACGAATGCAGGAGAATTACATTTTACCTTCTAGATTCCTTCTGGTTTTTAATTTTGATGTGGGTAAAAGATACTTTAGAACATAAATGATATGCCATATAAAACCTAATTGAAAATATTATATTAGTTGTTACCTAATGTATGAACATGTCAGATAGCAGTAAGTAATTGTAATTGTGTATGTTTGGGGTTTTTTCTGCAACAAATAGAATCTAACAGAATTAGGTGATATGCTATAAAGCATTGCTGTTGCAAATATTTAGATGCATACTTAACTTCAGTTGCATCAGGTGAATTCATCAACTTCAAAGACACTTAACAATATAAAATTACAGGATGAGGATGTAACAGCACAGGTTGCATCCGGTTTCTGTGAATTAACATTAAGACTTTCTACTGGTTTTGATGTATTACCATAACCAGAAAGGGAATCTATGACAAAATTCTTGATAAGCAAAGAGTCTGTTTACACTGGATGTAGATACATACATATATATATACATGCACACACACATGCACACACACTTATATATCACATGGAACTTACTGAATACCCAATGAGGGTTTCCACAGATGCTCCTTGCTTTGGCTGGCAGCTGATGTGATAGAATGTGAATAGCAGATGGTGTTTCTCTGTGAGTTTTGCTGGCAGCTTAATTTTCACTTCTTCATAAAAGTCAGGGGACCTGTTTAAAAAAAATGGCAAGCACATTTCCAATGTAAGTATGAGACTGAGCAGAAGGCAAATTTGCCAGTAGGCTTTTAGATACTATAAATCCTGAAAACAGCCTCAGAGCTGAGTTAAACAAAGAACATATATATACAGCTATGTTTATGAACTATCTACAGCTCTGAATCAGGAAGAGCAAAGATGGTATCAGCTGGAATGTTTCAGCTTTCACCCATCTCTGTACTTTCAAAAACATTCAGTCTTAATTTTGGGTTCCAACGTATTTATTGTGTAAATCCTAAATCCTGAGTCCACATTCACAAGAATGAGAATGTCCCTTCAGCTCTTTTGCATCTGTGAATTCATCAAAGTGAATGCTGTTACAAAGCTGCGCTGCTGCTTCCTGCTTCTGCTCCTTAATCTTCAGGTTAGCAATATTCTCAACTAACCTCCGAAAAGCTCCAAAAAGAAAAGCAATGGTCAATAACGCAATGGTCACTTATGCCAATGCATGTAGCAATCCAAATTAGATATGACAAATTCACATAAAATGTAAATGTTTAAAATGTATTAGTACCAGCATTCCTTGATGAACTAGGTAGGCTAAGAATTATGTAAAGAGGTTATGATTAATACTTCTCGAGTCATAAAAATAGTAACAATACTTACTTATTATGATATGTGATAGCTGTGTATATTTCTTGCACAAATTCTGGACCTGAAGATTTCCCAAAAATTACCTAAGTTAAGAAGAAAAGAATGTAACAGCAGCCAGGTCTAAAGCATTTAAATGTCATCATCTTGTATAAATTTTAAGAGAGTATATGAAGGCTGAAAATGACTCTTCAATTTTATCCTAACATGTTGACACAAATGTGTCATATCACCAAGCATCTTCCCACACACAATTCAGGCTAAAACATCAGGAAAATGGAGCAGATGTAATTTCCAGAGCCACTGACTACCTCATCACATTCTCCAGTCATGCACTAAAAAGTTAGGAATTGCAGGAATAAAGTTATGATAAGCCTTTTACACATTGTCACACCGCCTTAACTAAATGCTAAAAAGTTAAATTAAAATTAATTTTAGAAGTTTGCTTTTCAGTTGTAGCCTGCTCATTTAGGGTGCGATCCATCTCACCTTACCTTACAGGTCCAAATTTCCTTTACAATCAATGAAGAAAAAATAGGCATTTTTGGTGCTTGATTTCCTTCCCTCATTTCAGACACAGCCTCATGGGAGGGTCCTGGAATCCAGTAACTTTAAAGGGAGCCCTGGGAGCTGAGCTTAGACAAGGATATCTGTACAGCACAAGCTCACATGTATTGAGATGAAGCTCTCACAGTGGAGAGGGATGCCAGATGAACTGTGTCTGTCCTAAGCATTTCTCACAACCTAATCATAATATGGGCAGAGTTTAAGAAAACCAACAATGCAGTATTGTGTAAAAGACAGTGTTATATTCACATGGCACAGCTCCAGCTCTGGAAGAAGTGTGTCTTGGGAAAGCACTGTGCTGATGATCTGATTTCAGTTCCAGACCTATGTGGAGTAAGGCTGTGAAGTATACACTGTACAGTGTCAGCATGCTGATAAAGGCTGGTCAGATGTCAGTCCTTGCTCAAATATGTTGTTAGATTAAAGTTCCTCAAAGTAGTACTTCCACTCATTTTTCTCCCACTCTAACACAGAAAATCACAGAAGATTTTTATCCCAGTGTCATTCTCAAATAGCCAATTACACTGTCTGAAAATTTCCCAAAAACTTCAGGCTGAAGCAGATGTCTGGGTTAGAAAACTTTAAACTGAACATCTGAAGCTTTGTAAAGCTGAAGAGAGGATCTTATAATGAGAAACGTTTAACAACCTGAACATAGACAGTGCTGCCTGCTCAGCTAGTAGTGCACATGTATGCCCTAAAAGACAGTGCGTTTCAAACATGGAAAACTCTACCTGCACTGCATAATTGTGCACCTGTTCAGATTCAGGCAATGAAGATCCCAGCTTCTACCCTCCAGTGTTACACCTGAATATTTGTGTACACATAGTGTGTATGAAGGAGATTTACACTGGAACATAGACTACATCATTCTTAAAAGGTCTGTGAAGCTCTGTGAACGTTACCCTTAGAATTTCCAACACAGCATTGATTTAATACGATGTCACTCTTCTGAAATAAGGTAGGAAGACTTAGATAAGAGGGAGTAATATGCCTTTGCTCCACTTGAGTGACAAGTCTTTCCTGTTGTGGGTAAGGACTACAGCGTTGCTTTCTGATGAGAATGACAAACTTCACCAGCTCTCTGATGTTAGGCTTCCTACGGCCTCACTAGAAACTGTGGTGATGGGAAGTAAACAATGAGTTATCTTTTCAGAGGTTCCTCAGGAATGCACATAAGCAAAAGTCTGCTAAGAAATCTCAGCTTTTATTACCGGCATTGCACAGGATGGGTCTTCGCCACACATAAACTGGATCTTGATGGTAATGTTTCTTGCAGAAGCTGGTCGGTTAGCAAAATTCAGCCTCTGAGGGTAAACATAGAGGAGATTTCTGGAAGAAAGAAAAGATAGAATAAAATGGGTAAATGGCAGGCATTTGTGTTTCAAAATGAAGTGCACAAACTAGCATTTTGCTGATTCCTCTTCCTGTGCTTCAATTTCACCTAGATAGTGAAAGTTTTGCCAGAACTCCATTTCAAAAGTTCACAGGGAAAAGGTAAGTTCTTGCTGTGACACATAGAACATCCTATGTTTAAGGTTTCTCATACAGTAAGCTATATCTTTGAGAAAGCAGTCCTCCTATCTCTCTTTTTTTTGAAATATATAATTCCCAATTACAAATGAATTAATATCTTTGCTTGAGGTACTGAAAGCGTGAATCTCTCAAGAAAGCAGCTCCCTTCTCAGCTGTGAAGATTCACATTTTGGAAGGGGCAAGGAATCACTCAGGGGTTATAAAAACAAGTAAACCAGCAAATAAAACCAACAACTGAAGTTCATACATTCCTAGCTTATAGCAACAAAATGGCATGTATTTCTAAGTTATGCAAATCAAAAAGCAGTATCAATGAACCTGAGTAAATACAAACAAGAAATTTTGAACTATGATTCTAGAAACTGACATTTTTTAGTAATGAATATTAATAATGCTTTAAAATACAGCATCCTTTGCTGTTTACTAGCTTCTGTACATGGACAGATCTCTGAACTTAAAAAGCACCTTTAATTTCTGTGGGGAATTTGGCAGCATAGATGGTCTTTCAAGTTCAAAACCCAACAATTCTAGTAGAAGAGTCAAAATGCTAATAGAAAGCTTCTTCTCCAGTGAAGTCTATTAATTCTGAGATTTCAGTCAGACCCGGATTGCACACATTCTGGCTTCACTATTATGGCTATTTAATGTCTCATTTTCCCATTCTGGTATAGGATTCTCACTGTTTGCCCTGAGTGTAAGGAATAAGACAGTAGTTGGTGGAGGCACACTGACTTCCAATGAGAAACAATGAGAACTACTCATGGGCTTTCATAATTTTTGTCTGTGACAGTCAGAAGCTACACACAAAATCGCCCTGTCCTTATCACAGATATCTCCTCAGCACCATCGTCAGCTGAAAATGGGGAGCAGCTTTGGAGAATGTTGTCATTAAGTCACACTTCCGTCTTCCATCCCAAGACCTGGAAAGCTGTGGTTGATTCTCCTTATTGCCATGTGTCACAATGTGACAATACTCTTCAACTACAGAGTCCAAGCTACTTTGCTAACCAACATACGCTGCATCGGCCATGACATGCTTTAGCAAACAAACTAACATGTTGCTTGCCTTTCCCTTTGTTCAGAATACTACTCCTGTCTGACACACTAATGCACTTTCTTCCTTACCTTCTTAAATGCAATTTCTGCTCTGCCAAATTCTCTCCAAGATGATATTAGGAAAAGCTAAGTGAAAGAGGGAAATATATTGGTAACCTCCACTGAATTATGCTTGGGGCAATGACATATTAAATGAAGGATATTATCAATATTACATCTGCCAGAGGTGAAGAAATACATGTAGGGGAGGCTGTATAATCCAGTCATTGTTTCATTAATCTACAGCCCAGCAGAAGATGTCACAAATCCATATAATGTCCCTGAGCACTGGATTTTACATTTAGATGTGACTTGAGATGAAAGATATGTAAAATCACAAACAGGGAGCTCTCTGCTGACTACACAACCAAGGAAGCATTATTCCAGCAAGTACTGTACTGAAGAGCTAAAGCTTGTGCCTTTTATGCTCAAGCAGTTTTAGAGATCTTGCTTACATGTGTATAAAACCCATCAGTACTGAGGAAGAACAGAGGCAAATGCTGACTCTGGATATCCTGCAGCGATGAAAGTGATTGATTTTTTAAAGCAGGAACGTGGGGAGATCATCAAAAGAGGTTCCTTCACACTGGCATGAATTGTAGACCCATTGCTGACCACTGTGTAGGTGCTACTGCCTGCCGGCATCTGTACTCTCCAAAATCCTGAGAGGAAGCAATGACAAGGAGCATTTCCACATGGTGGTTAGCAGGGGTGTCAGGGCAGCACGTACTGCTGTCTTATAAATAACAGGACAACTAGCATGCCCATAAGGATGTGGTGAGCTCCAGGAGGCATTGTGTCTCCCTTGAGGCTCTGCACTGAGCAGAAATATTCAAACTACATGCCACAACAATTACTTTTGGCCAGTGTGATTAAACTTCTCACCTCACTCACCCTACAGAAAGTACAGGGCTCTATCTCCACATACAGTTAGATGTGTTTACAAAAAGCAAAAGAGCTATTCAGGAGTCAGTATGGGTCTATAACACCCACAGCACAGCACCCAACTTCACTGAAACCAGAGTCCCACAGGACAGCAGAGTCCTGGGTGACGCACGGACCCAGACAGCTCCTCTGGGTCGGAGACTGACCCAGCAGGGCAATGGTAAGATATGAGGCTGTTTCAGAATCAGTTATTTGCTGGGAAAGCTAAGGGTCCACATAGGCTGACACAGGACACCATGCAGCAATTCTCGTTTGAATTTGCTGACCTCCCTACACTTTCATGGGACTTAGCAGTGGTGATTTGATCACTTCCCATGGCCAAAGCAATGCAGACCTATCTTCTACCAAAATAAAAGCTATGCAGAGTTTCAAGCCTGTGACCTTTCTCATTGAATACTCCCATTTGTAATTATTGGTTGTGCACATGTGTGACATAATGAAACTCTTCTCCTTGTTAAATTACACAAGGTGTGAGGTGTCAACAAGTGCATTTCAAACTTCTAATGAATATTAGGCATGTTCACTGATGACTGTGACAAGAATGCCATACACAGCAAAAGCCAATATATGTGCACATAGTCATTACTGATACAAACCCACAAATGTTCTATAAGTGAACAGTGATGGATGGGTTAACATTGCCATTTAATATTTATGGTACTGGAAACAAAAACTGATACACCCGTTAGTTATAATTTAAAATCTTTGTTGATTTCTCTACAGTATTGCCGGGGTGCACAGGGAATCTTCAGAAAAAATGTTTGAAAATTATAATGCAAATCACAAACACTTTACCAAAAAAAGAAACCTGTTCTAGTCAGCCACTGACTAGAACAAATGGCACAATGACAGAACTTCAACATGTCATGTTCAAGAGGATGTATATGTGTCATATATTCTGTATTTTAGTATGGATAATTTGGATAATATTTCAAATGATTTTTCTCATGTTGCTAAAACTAGGAATCATCTAAAGAGTCAGTGGTCAGATCCTCATTAACTTTAGGCTGAGAGTGATTGTTGCTTTATTCTGTCCATTAGCATTGGTGTGAAAACCTTAATAAATTTTCTGTTAAAGTTTTAGTCAGCACAAAAAAAAAAATGTTGCCAGAAGAATGGAATGGAAGGCTGACTCAAAACATCAGATTTCCTCAGATAGAAATCACAAAATTATGATAAGAAAATAAATATTTCTAAATTTAAATGTGACCTAGAGCTTAGAGTCAAGTCAGACTGAAATTTTAATAGCTTTCTCTCCAGGACTCATAGTTATTCATTATACATCATTGAACTGACCTACCATTACTTCAAACACCAAATATTGCAAAGAGGTATTCAATGACATAATGTGTTTGAAAACCAAGACCAAAGGCAAATAATCAAGACTTTTGTGAAACATAAAAATCACCAGCAAAATAATTTCTTACCTATCATACTGATTTTCTCGTGTGCCAATGTAGGGAACTTTTTGACCCACAATTCCTACTTTACATCACCTTTTGCAGAAGTTACTCTTAAAATGGTTTTAAAGTTTTCAAATATGAAAATCAAAGGGGTTATACCACCTTCTGATGTTTCTGTCCTCCATGCTTTGCAGTCCTCTACCTCCTAAACCCACTGTTGCATTGGTAATATCCTCACTTCCCCTGCTGGTTCTGGTATTATTAAATCCTGAGGGTCAGTGTTATTAAAATGGATAAAAAGAGTGGAAATCCACCAGGTATCAATTGGTGTCAAGACACTGTAATAACAAGATAGTACATCACACATAAGGCATTGCCCAGTCACCTGAATGAAGTATGAAAAGCTGAAAAAAGGAAGACAGCAACTATACCGTAGAGCTGTATTTTATACATCCACTTGCCATCCCAGGACCTGGGATTCCTCCAGCTATGTAAATAGAGGTAAAGCTCTGTCCCAAAATTCTCACTAAACCCTGATAATCAAAGAGTGAAATTTCTGACATACTAGATTTTTACACATAATAGTGAACCTATTTGAAATACGATGTTACAGCTGAGAACCGTGGTGAGATAATTTTGTCCTGATATATTTAATTAATAAATGACACAGTCAAGGAGTGCTAGTAAATACAGTAGCATACCACAGCTTCCCAAAATGCTGGTAACATGCCCCCCAGGAAGTTACATGTGTTAGATAATATGAGGCAATATTTCATATTTACTAGCATCTTCTGGTTGCCACAGACACCAGGCACTTCCAAAATTTCAGTTGAAAATGCTTAAAAACCTTAGTGAATGACATAGGATTCAGCAGCATGCAAGATCTATGCAGCTAGAAGTCTACAGGTGGAACCTGAATTGAAGCGGAGCTGCATCAAAACCAAATCAGTAAAGCAGCTGCTTTCATTTAAAACCATCTGGAAAGGTAGGCCCCTCTCATTACTTATGTCTTCTGTGTTTTCAGTTACAGCTTCTTTCCTGAGAGGAAGGTAGGCATTCAGTATTGCACTGATGGCTAATGATAATGATTAATGAGAAGCCCAGTTTTTCTAGGAAGTCATTGTACTGGATAATAAAATGCTTTTATCTCTACGTCCCAGAGGAGAAGCAATAGAAATAGCCTTTACAAGACAGGGAAAAAGAAGCGGGGAAAAAAATGGCCTCAAGTTTGGGGAATTAAACCACAACAAAAATGGCCAGCATTGTTTGAAGACAGTGTATAAACATTCGTCAAACCTTCTAATATTCCTGCATGGTAGGTATCTTGCTGTGGATGTGAATGTGCAGTTGGAG